ATATTCACTCCTACTATCTTCTGTGCTGCTGTAGTGGAAAGCGAGACCTCATTTGTCGTTGACATCCCATGGCTCTGATCGGCATTGGGTTAGCTAACGAAAAACAAACCATATTCTGATTATGACGACGTTGCCTGCTCGCCACTGTCTTCACTTATTCTTAAACAACACATGCGAGATAGAGATCCTTCGGGATTCACATGATAACCCATAGTTCTGTTTAACCTGGGTATTCCCCGCAAAATCAAGCTAAGAGTTGATCATAGCTAGTATCAGAATTTTTCTTATGAGTTTAAGTCACGGTTTATATATTAGTCGGGATAGTAAAGAAATGTATGGTTTTTTTGCTAAACAATTAAATTAATCAAGTTGTTTTGTCCTGGCGCAAAGGAGGACGCGGAAGCTTCATCATTTTGCAGTACTTGAATGCTGAGTTCTAAGTATTTATCGCTCATCTCAAAAAGTCCAATGTACCGATGCGTTGGTTTCTGTAAACTTTCCCATATTCCGAACAGAAGAGAAGATTTCGTTTTTGGAATTCATTTCACTTTCAGTCGACAATAATTCCTCGATAAAGTTTGACGCAGGTGTATTGTTAACTTAGTCCTGTTTTATTATCGTGCATTTTTCACTCGTTGTTTGACATTCTTTTTTTGTATCGTCGCCCGGTTTACTACCACACTTACCTCAGTAGAGCTTGTATTAGGTTTCTGTTTTAAGGTTTAAGCTTAAGGTTTTCAGTTCGCATAACCGAACGGTAAACTCTTTGATAGCACGAGTTTCATCGTTGTTACTATTTCTCATACGGGTGTTTAATAAATCGATTTTTTCATCTAGACTTTAACATTATAAACTGTTTTTTACGTTTATTTTCTATAGTTTCACAAAATGCAAGGAAGGCGGGATCACCCAGTGCAGTAAACTACTTCTGGATCTTTTTGTGAAGTTGGTCAATGGTGAAGGAAAAGTGGACGTTCTTTCAAAAGTTTTACCTGGATTGGTTAAGGTAAGCCTCCAAGTTTACTGCGCTTCTTAAAATCGCACAGCTGTTCCAAGATGAAAATATGTTTGAATCTAAACTACTGGACGTTCTATGGATTCTTGGTTAGTTGTTTTATTTAGATTTCATGATTTTGCTTCATCCTAAAAGACTCGGCCGTTGTAGATGTGAATTCGGAGGCCGTGCGCGATCGCTACTTTCGTTTACTGCACGTGTGCAAGGCACATGTTAATCCAGCACTGTTGATGGAAAGACTTTCCGAGGATACTCTGGAAAATATGTCCCTAATCCAATCGAAGCAACAATTTCAAACGCGTTATGTGCGGACCAAAACGCGTCTATTTTTTAAACAACAGAAGTTTAATTTGTTGCGTGAGGAAAACGAGGGTTACGCCAAATTGATTACGGAGTTATCCCAAACAAGGGGTCCAATGGACGCGGTCATGACTCAGGTCAGGTCTTTAATTGGCTACTTCGATCTGGATCCCAATCGAGTGCTTGATTTAATCCTGGATGTTGGTGAATTCCGCGAAAATATGAGCGAGCAGCTCGTAAAGTTGATCCGTTTCTACAATCCCGACAAGCTGGATTTGACCCACATCCTTGGTCACAAATTTCATTTTACACAGGTTAGCTACTATCTATTTTATTAGTAGATGAGATACTTTTCCAAACTTTTAAATCTATGTGCATTCATTAGTACTTAAGTTTGTGCATTTTAATTCACTAACTGACCCGTTCGCTGGACTCTTTATCTGACCATGTAAATTTGTACTACAGTTAGTATATGTACTTCATTTCAAGTTCAATTAAGTCCATTGATTTGACAAGCTGGCGCTCGTCTTCGATTGAGTAAAAGATTCTTCAGTGAATGATTATGAACTTCAACAATGTGGACCGAGTTTGTGTATTTACTTACTTACTGTTGGCATAATTTTCAACTTTTGATGTCTAATGGCTTGGTTTTCCAATTTTGTTACTCATTTATAAACGTTTCAAATGAAGCTAAACGATCACTTAATAATGTGTAGTGTTCCTGTTCCCTCTACCAAGATGGCTTCTCACTTTTATTCTTTTCTTACAAATCCAGGATCCTGGATCTACAACTCCTCCGTCATTGTACAGGATTGCTGCTATTTTATTGGCCAACGGTTTAATCAATTTGGACATTTTATATGGTCATGTAAGTTCATGCTGTTTGAATATGGTTTCTTCGAATGTTCTACATATAGCGCAGATAGTGTTTTTTAAGAAGAAGAAGAAGAAGAAGAAGAAGAAGAAACATCACATCGTTTGATCATGTGTGTTTATCTATTAGGTGTTAAATTACTACCACGTTTCATGGTTTCAAACCTGTTAAACCGCACGAGTGGTGTGTTTCGGGCACTAAGCGTCCAGGTGGGAGTTACCGTCGCTGCCGACCGGCTTACTTCTAACCTCATCTTATTGGGATTTTAATTTGTTCGCTGCTCTTACATTCGGGGTTTTCAATTGCCGGTTTCTTGTTTAATACCACAGCCACCCGACTTTGGTGTTAGGCAGCTCTGCTGTCGTCCACGCCTAACCTATCGGAGCCTTATGTGGTTCGCCACTCCAATCCTCGGGGCTTATGTTGCCAGTTTCCACCAGTGAACAGCGGGTCCTCGTGACTGGTTTTCGCCCCGTTTACTGTTCAGCACACTTAGGTGTGTAATGAAGAAAAATAATACAGTAGGTCCTGTACACACAAGGGGTTTGTCCTTTTACTTGTTTAGTCATATCGTTGCGTCATAATCGAACTGATCATGACATCCTTCCACACATTCTCCCTCGAAGCGCATAGTTTATCGAATTTTGAATTACGCAAAGCCACGAACGGGGGATGGCTTGGATTGCGCGGGAACTGTTGTACCGTTGGCTTCCACATCAGCCCATTACCATACTTTATTCTTAATCATGCAATACAAATTACAAGCGGTTGAACTGTTAAATAGATTGATAGTCTTGTTCTACTTGCTTTTTGCTAATAAAATTAGAGAGTAATTGAAACCTATTCACAAACAATTAATTGTTGAAAATTGTCGCGTTTTTCGATGTGTTGTATTTCAGTCAATCCGGCTTACATCCACACCTGTCACTGACTTATTGTTTATTTACATTGAAACGGAAAAGTCTCATTTCTCTGTCATGTGGGTTTGTGCAAATGACTCGCTTCGGAGAGGTTTGAATCTTTGCCCACACTCAAACCTGATTACATTGATCCTACCTGTCTGTTGATGTCTACTTTGTGCACTTGTGTAGTACTCGACACTCAAACGATACACACACAAACAAGCGCTTTCCCGTCAAATTGAGTTTTAAGTATACTCCAGTAGAGCTGTAAAATCTATCTAGCTCGTTATCCGCACTGGTTTTCGTCACTTACGGTCTTCAATAAATGATTTCTGTCCGCCTAACCACATCGTTACTTCTACTAACATCATCACTACTCTACCGAGCATCGCTTCTCCCCCCCTTTGGATTCATTTCGCGTTTATCTTTCTCCCGGTACTCGATCACGCTATCGCGATAAAATGCAATCGTCTTAGTGATTGATTCTACACTGGCAGTCAGTAACCGGTGGGCGATACGACTTCTGTCCCTCTCTCGTTCCCACGATGTNCTCGTTAGTCCTGTTCGCCCTCATTCTGCACCTGCAATCAGTTCCTATCCATTCACTTCCATTCGCGGATGGGGAACTTCCTCTGCGATACCAAAATGCAAATCGTTACTTTGTCGGTTGTTTACTCTCACAAAAGAGTATATGTCGTTTCTTGTCAGTTATTAATTTGAAAATACGGTTTGCCCGAGGGATTGATTTGCATTTCATTTCTTAGGGGTCGCGGGGGGACATGTTTGCATAGATACACATTGCAAACTTGCAGTTCGCATTGTCGGAGATGTTCGATGCACACAGAGAAATTATGACACAATATCTGTCTTAATACCCGGGTATAAATTGTGCTGTCTGAAGCTCGTTAAATACCCAAAAAATAGCCGTTCAGTTTCATTTTATGTGATCAGATTGCACACATTGTACACCTTCTGCTTGATGCTCGAATGAAACGCGAATTCACCATTTTTGTTCTGCTCTCAGCTTTTTACCCCGGCTTGATCGATTCAGGTCACATCTTTGTTCATAATAGGTGTTATTTTTCTTGACTCCTTCTCCATTAGACAGTTCAAAAATTCTGTGTACAAGATGTGCATAAGCTGTGCATTACGATTAATTTCTGATTATGTGGTGTGTGACACCATATATATATATATATATATATAATGACATTCGCTTAGGTCTAGGCAGGTGCGCAAAAGCTTATTGTCTTTTCAGGTCATATTCCCTTCATTCCTTGCAGAAATAGGGTTCATTACTGAATTATACCATAATTTTTCACTTTGTACATTTTTGTGCTTGTGTACATGTAGTACGGCTTCTGTGGTATCGCCTTGCTAATTTCAAAGCAGACTGAAAATCCTGCTGTTAAGATAATGTTTTTTTGTACATTGAACACTAAAAGTCATACCGATTAAATCTACCGTTGGATTGACAGAGAATATATGTGAATTGACCAGAGGGATTATAGCTCATATCCAGGTTATTATATGTGTGTACACACGTGATCATCACTCTGATCATACGACACCTAGTCTGGATGGAATATAACCCTCTCAATTTTCGGCAATCGCATAACTCGTTTTATCTACGTATGATTCACACTAGGAGGAATTGTGGAATAATGATTGTTTTACATTGACGCTTTTGACACGTGGACGTGTAAAACTTGGAACGGAATCACGACCAACCGGAAGCTGCCAGTGACGAGTTCGATTGACTAGGCAACATTAGTGAGACTAAAAAGCACAATTTCGACGCACCCTCTCGACTTACATTTCTCTAACTGGGGGAACGTATTGCGCTTACATGACAACTGTCTTACCGAACCACACGACATTTGGCTTGGGTATATATCCGAATGGCTACTGTATCTTTGGGCGCCATGGTTGATAACCGTCTTGGGTGAACTCGTTCACCATCCCTGTCATGCGCATTGGTTCGATTACACCGCGAGCAATGCGAGAACAGCAGAATGGGAACTAAGTTGTTGTGATGGTCATTCAGGTGCTGAACTCAGTACAGGTTACTATTTTGTCATCACCGGGTCGGGGAATCGAATACTGTCATCTAACTTTGGTTTCATTGGTGCCTGATGAAATGCCGGTACTGTTTCGTTCAAGACTAATTGCTGAATATGGCAAGGCAAACGGTAATTATTAATGAATTTGGCACTGGTAGCAATTTCCACTCAGTGTTCTCGTTCGTATCCTACAGGCCTGTGTACGAAAGTTCATTTAATCAAAGGTGAATACTCCAAGCTTGTAAAACTATATGGTTTTACGGAATAAACGTTTCCTTCTTTTACCAATGGTATTCACTCTATCCCCATTTATTCGGTTTAAATCAAATGTATGTAGAGTGTTGTATACGACGGGGTTGATCAATCTGATTAATTTCATCAGTGGATGAAGAATAGGAGATGGGGGCGGAGCGGAGGGTACGCCACGAAGAATATGGGTCAAAGACAACTTCGTTGCACACTCACGAGAGTTCTATTGTCGTTGTTATCCATGTGACGTCATAACTGCGCTCGTACTCTGGTTACTCCAGTTTTATCACATCGAAGAACCTGTAGGACCAATCTACGTTGCACCTACCAATAAGGTTTAACAGACAAATGCTAATTGCCTTGGCCGTTGGTAACACGTGAAGCCTAGTTGTTCTGTATTGGTCAGATGAAGCTCAGGAGATGATTGCAGCATCCCGATGCATATCGATCCAGATGCAGCTTCAGGTCAACAGTATTACCATTACCAAAGTCATCAAGAAGACTAAATTTAGCAAGATGGTGAACAAAGGATTTTTTTCAAATACTGTGTAGAATTGTCGTTCCCAACTTTGAACAGCCATTAATCGTCTGAGCGCATTCCTACTGTTCAAATTCACTCGTCTACCCACATTCTGGTTTACGGCCACTTAATTTTCATTTAACTCGCTTGCTGTTGAACAACAACAACAAAAACAAAACATGCTTTTACACATAAATGTATATATGTATATATATAGTATAGAAATAAACTGTATGGTTTCTGTCACATAATGAATAATTATAAGAATATGAATAAGAAATAGTATTTTCCTACCCACTTGTTCCCCGGGATACGTACGGTCAGATTCGTACTCGCCTACACCATATCGCATGATGATCCGGGAGGGAACGACACGCACAGCGAAATATGCGTCGAAATGTTCGACGAAAAGTCGGATTAAATGAGTGATACACAACCGGATTGAGCATCGAACTGAGATAGCCAAGCCATTCCAAATGGGGAATCACAATTGTCGTCCAACTCTTACACTCCACACACATCACATCAATAATATACACAATAAAAAAGGGCAAATAACAGGTCACAAATAATCCAAACAAGACTCCAATCACTCGAACCGCTCGTTTTCCACTGTGAATTCGTGCGAACGTGGGAAAATGTGACAGACCGCTGTTAGTCCCATCCGTGGACAAAACACGTTTGTATCCTTGATAAACAGTCAGTTTCATTTCGGCACTTTGCATATCCGTCTCGTTTGATGTGATCGCTGCACCTTCATTATCATAGGTCTTGTTCAGTATTCGCGCTTTGATCGATTCGGTCTGTTGATTGTCGACTTCCAGTACCATTCGATTCTCTGTTTCCGTCGGTGTTACCTTCCCATTGTTTGAACAAGGCATATCAGATTTATCTGACGGATGCTCCGTCGGCCAGTCTGGGGATTGTCTGGACACAGATGGTTTGTGTTGCACAATATCACTTGGCTGTCGACTGATTGCACCCGAATTCCCACTTCGTGTGCTCACATTTTGCATCAGAATACTGGACTTTCGACCCGGGAACGAGACCCGTTCGGAATGCGCGCGTTTCAAGTAGGGTGTTGTGCTACGCGCTGCGCGCGTATGGGTTGGTTTGTACAGTCGAATCGCCTTGACCTGTTCCATATGTTGTTGCAGGGTGCGCACGGTCAACACATAGGTGGTTGTCATGATGATCAGGGGGAGCACAAATGTCACACCGATTGCTGTGAGCACGAAACTAGGATCGTTCGGTCCGCAACCTTTGTATGATTTGGTCACATCTGAATTGTCCGACTCGATCAGTTGAGTGCGGTTCGCCGATGGCACCGGTTCATAGTAGGTCTCGGTGACCGGTAGAGGTTCCACAATATCCAACCCCTGTTGTTCTTGTTGCAAAGCGAATATGAACAGTGGACCGGCAATGGAGAATGGAACAAACCAGCACATCACAATGCGAACAACTAAACTGTGACATATGCGTGGTATGCCTCGATTTCGTCGGAACGGTCGTCTCAGGGCCAGGTAACGATCGAGTGAGATGGTGCACAAATGAATTATGGTGGTCGCAGTAAAGAAAATGTCCATACTGTACCAGACCAGACAGAGTGTACGATCCCGACTGCTTCCACCTTCAGCAGATGTAATTCCGGTCGATTGGAAGGTATTTGAGCAAAATGAAAGGATTGTAGAGAAAAACAAGAAGAATGAGAAGATAGGCATACAGCACCAATCAGATGCACGAGAAATTGATAATACCGTCTCCATTTTGGTTCTTTGAAATTGCAATGTTTGTACTAATTTGTATGTGTAATCGATCGGAAAAGTTGAAATTCTTTTACTCTTCTTGAACGTCCTACTTATCTCTTCATTTTCTCTGGTTGAATTAACGAGACAGTAATTGTTGAGTGTCTTCGACCTGTTCTTGTAAGCATCCGCACGATGATGCATACATATGTACAATATAGTCAGATAGATTTATTTAGTTAGTTGGTGAACTTAAGCGCCGGGTCATAGAACGGTATTTTTCTGGCAATTTGCCAGATCACCCGATTTTGGGGGTACTCAGCTTTGCTGTCGTCCGGTTCAATACCAGGCCTAACCTTTCGGGGCCTTATGTGGTTCCCGGTTCCCATCATTGAACAACAGGTCCTTGTGACTATTGGTATTACCCCGTTTGCTGTTCATCACAATTAGGTGTGTAATGAAAAATAAATATCAGAACGAGTCGACCAAATTCANTCATCATTTTCTTTCGCATTACCAGACTGGTTCCCTAATCGGTCTGATCCGCTCTGTGTTCTACAGCTGTGCATGAAGCCTTAGAACTGTTACCAGATTCGTTCTCTTTCAGTGCACACACACACGCATCATGGTGCCCAGTGTTCGTACATCTGGTACCAGTTTGTTCGGCCCATCTGTCCTTGTTTGTGGGAGGTACTCTGTGTGAAATCTTGCAACATCTTTATCTGTTTGTTTTTCCCCTGGCATAATGTACGGGAAATAATGCACGTCTACGATCTACCACTAGTGACCACTGTGCCACAGTTCGTTTTTGTACTCTAATTTCTGTTACATTTATTCCTGTCCACACTCAGATTGTGCTAGTTTGATATTTGGGTCTGCGGGCCTCAAAGAAAAGATACGCTCGGTGACGTTGTCACATCTTGTACGTATCACTGATGCGGTGGGATTTATTTTCCTACTCTCCCGCACAGGTCTGCTGATTTCTCTATGGTCCCTTTCGGGCGCTTATGCCCATAGCATGCATTTAGTGGATGCCAGCCAGTGCGTTGAACTTTTCGGAAATCGTCGATGCTTCTTCTCATTGACCGTTTAGTCCAAAAACTTTGACATTTGCACGCATACTCATTATCAGTTAATCTTTTTCCTGATGCGATCTACTTCACACAGATCCTTTCTTGACTCAAAACACTGGTCACCTATCCAGAATTTCGGATTCATCTACGTGGCACCTAATCGCCTCTTAGACCGCTTACGCCACAAACCAAAGTAAATGGTTTCACTCTCCGAATGTGTCCAATGGTTTAGTTATTTTTCTAGCAGTTTTATGCTTCCAATCAATGCACGATCGACTTAATACAATTTTATGATAATGTGTGCCTTTATCTATAGGTAGGATTAGGGAATAGGAGTTTTGGAGCCTATGCATAGCGGGGCGCATAAGTCGCGGGTAAATGAGTGGTGGTGGGTGGTCCAAATCGCGCTCACCTGTGATCATTTTCCACGCGGAAACAGGCATGACCAACAATGCACACAGCAGGTCACTGATAGCTAGAGACACAAGGAACAAATTGAATCGGTGTCGAAGTCTCCGTTCCAAATAGACAGCGAGACACACAAGCACGTTTCCCCATATAGTTCCCAACGGAATCAAATAGAGCACAATATATTCCCACTTTGGTGTTGAGTACATCGAGTCCCAATTGGAATCTGGTTAATTCTGTGTTTGTCAACTGTGAATTTTTGTACAATTCCACTGAGTGAAACTAGTTTCACATGACCACGAGGCCCGTAAGCGATGTGCAATCATATTTGCCTGTTCTCGGCCAAGTGTGTTCTAACCTGTCCGTGATGATGAAGTGTAGGGCAAGAGCGTGTAGCCAGGTCAGTTACGGGATTGGAAAGAATTACACTTGCTACTTTGGACGAATAACAATTCTTCTTGCGCGCGCACACTCTCTCCCGGGCTGTCATAGAATAGGGTCGTGTGTGCGTGCGTGCATGCATTCATACGTGCGGGTCCTCGTGGGTAGAGCGGACCAATCAGATGTTGACTTTCTTGACCTATTGTGTTGTGGAAACTGGAAGTCATTCCGTCTACGTTACCTGTTGCTTATCCTTTTTCCAGGAAAAAAATCTAGCTCAGACAAGGTTAACCGAACTACGCCACACAACCAGTCATGTTTATTTCTACCTCAGGAATTATAAGATCGTTTAGTATAAAAGTATCCCTGACATTCGACCCACGATGCGGTTAATCAGATAGCTTATTGTTTAGCGTTTTTTTTCTTGTTGCTGAGCTCGATTTCCGCGTTTGATGATTCCGTATTGTTGTATACTACTCGTACATGTGTAATCCAAGTGGACTTTTGGTGATCAGCAGTTGGAACTCATTTTTACCCGCAATCTAATCAGTTCAGTGGGAAGATGGGTTAATTATTGGCTTAATCACTTGACTAGCAGCGTTTTGATCCACTGCTCTCGCCTGTTTCATCTATTCTCTTGCTTATCCGTGGAAGTCGAAGCTCAAGTCGATAGACCTTCCCCTGCCTAGCGGGAACGCTTTAGGTCGTTTCTTTGCCACCACAGTCGGTCTCGAGCTCTTGCAAAACGATGAAGAGGACCCAATCACCAAGATCGTTTTTCGCTATAAGGTGTGACTGACTAGTCCTTTTTTTCGTGACAAGATAAATTTCTCTATTACGATTCACTGCCTTATTATAGCACGGATACAGATGTTTGTTGCATCAGCTATTTTTTTCCGGTGTGGAATTGCAATTGTAAACTGATGAGTGAGATATTATCGTTACCATCGCTGATAACCAGCGTTCGTGACCGATCCAACGTGTCCCCTGTCAGACGTAATCGTTCCCCACACGTTATAACTATTTGTTATCTAGTTTTTTGCCACAAATTCGTTATGCACTACTTGATATTTCTAGTGCAACATCCTCCACATTACAGCGGATTCCTCGTCAATACTGTTGAGTAAGGAACCCTGTCTGATCGGTGTAGTCGAGCGTTCTATATCTGTCACAGCTCATCTTGCGAGATTCCCTCTTGCTAACATTGACATAATGGACTGCTTTTCCCTATCGTTCGGTGCAAAACAATCAACCAATGTTGAAAGCGATTGCTAAATTACCTTTATTGTCTGTATTAGAAGATCATTGTTTCCCGTTTGGGCATCGGAGCATGTAACTATAACTATCTTTTATCCTCAGTTTTTTCTTGTTATTATTATTCTCATATATATACATATACATATATATACGTAATAATGAAACATTTAATTAATGGGAGGACTAAGCGGCGAATCAAAAGGCTACCATGGAACACAAACCCGGCAAAGCTAGATGGCGGTTAAGAGGCGATTGGTTGGTGACCTTGAATTCTTCACCACCCTCCTTGATTTTAATTCGTTCAAGTTGCGAAGCTTTGATGCGTCTAATTTCTCGATTTCTGTGAATGTGCGTTAAAGTTTACCATGTTGATGTTGATATTGTTTAATTTATTTGTACAGCAGCTATCTCTTTCGTAAAAATGACCAGCTTCGGCTTTGTCAGTAAACTCCAACATCCACTTTGTGCAGTATATGATCGCGTCGAATAACCCATTGATGAGACCTATCACTTTTGGTAGATTACTTGCGGTATCAAACTTCGATCGCGTCCTAGAGTTGGTTCGATTAGATGTGTGGATATC